TCTCTCTCTCTCTATATATATATATATATATATATATATATATATATATATATATATATATATATAGAAGAACATAAGGATTCGAATCCATTTTAGGGAATTTTATCCATTTTTTAGATTTTTTTTTTCATTTTATTCGTTTGATATAATATTTTTAAATTATAAATTGACTGACATGAGGGCGTTGAGGAAGAACAAAATGGACAGCTGCACATGGCCCAACTTTTTTATTATATATTTTTATTTAAAAACCAAAACTTATAATAACGATAAGGGCCATTTTTCCCTTGTTCGTCCTAGGCCTTTCAGGATATTTAATTATTGATTGAATGAGTTTTTTTATGAATGGTTGAAATTGACAATCCTTAATACACATGGTTAATTTTAGCGTTGCTACTTTCCTTAGCTCTTGATACTATCCTTTCCTTTTCGTCCAGTTTTGTAGGAATTGTGTTCTTTCTTTTTAGACAAAAAACCAAAATGATGGTTTAAAAAGTTACTCAATTGTTTGTAACAACAATAGGTAGTTGTGGTGATTTTAACATATTACCTAAACATGGATTGATAATTATTAACCCATCCATGTTGAGTCAAGTAGGTAGAAATTAAAGGAGCAGCTTAAGCTAAAACTACAAGCATGTGATCAGTCAAGGAATGATTGTGTGAGAAATTACATAAGCTTTGCTGACCAATGCTGTATGTCTTAAATCTACAAAGGAATCCATTATCTATTTTGTACCTAATCCAAGTTATTTTCAAATGAACAGAGCATTACTCATATGGTTCAGGAATCAGAATCTAGCAAAAACCAAACTTTAATTCAAGTAAAATAACACCCCAATGTCTTACAATCTTGCGTCGACAGATCCGCAAGTTTTGAACAAAAGGACATTGAAGCTTGTTAATTTTGAGACTTTACCTTACAATTACGGAGCAGATAAACATTATTCAAAAAAGAATCAAATGTACGTAAAAAGTGGTGTTTATGAATTGGAAAAATATAAAAGGATTAAGGAAGCAAATTTCGAGGATTGAAGAATTTCCCAATTTGATATATAAAATTAAACAGACGTAATTGAAATAAAAAAGAAATTTCAATCATCTATTATATGTTGCATTTTCTCTTCGTCAGGGGCCAACAAACAATCATTGCAGTGGAGAATTAGTAATATAAGAGAAGCCCAGTTCGAAATTTCCGAAAGGTTAACCAGCAAAACAAAAACCACAAAAGAGCAAACAAAAATATTTAAATAATAAATTGCAAGATTCACGTACACTAGTGGTTCTTAAGGTTTTGAAAATGTTGCACAGATAAGAAGCGATCACTCATCTAAGACATTAACACTGAAACAATCATGGGGGAAGTACCACATCCATTCATAAAAGAACATGCACTGTTGACTTTTATTGTCATCAAGAAAGTAACCACAGCCCCTGTATGGTGTCTGAGTTTCAGGCCATGACTCCGGTTTAATAGCAACACAAGAACTGAACCTGCTAAGAAAGAAAGCATATTCTCCTGTTATGTTTTCAGCCGAGACCCATTTCATTTCACCAAAATTTAATTCCAAAAGCTTTTCTGGTGATGATCTAGACCGATATATGATATAAAGCTTTTCTCCTGAACTTACAAACTCTGGTCCAAACCAGTTTTTCTTTGGATAATTTTTGGTTTCGAGTAAAGTCCATTTGAGATTTTGATCCTGATCGAGTCTGAGTTCACATAAAGAAAAATCCTTGTGTATGCTATATATCTTCCCCTTTATAACATGTAAATCAAGGATATAGGGAGTGGGGCTAGCGGAGGAGATATGATTCCATCCTTGTTTATCCACAATAGAAAAATATACCATTTGTGTACATAAGACAACAAACACCCGCCCAGATATTGAAGGTGAAAAGACAAGGATACACCTGATAGCCGTCATTCCTTTTTCATGAGCACATACACTTAAGGGGTAATCGGGGAAATGAAGTTCATCTCTTGTGATAGGATTCACAAGCCAGAAGTCGCGGGTTTCCCTATCGAATAAGATAAGGTAACCACAAGTTGATCCAAAATAGGTCCTGCCAAAAGAATGGGGAATAATGGTTTTAAATCTTCTTTCTTTGAAGTCCTCAAGGAAATAATAGGAGTCTTCCTTATTAAGGAGGGGCCCGATGCTTATCTTCATGGGTGGTTTGGACGCCATAAACGTGTTCCTGTTAGAAACTGCAAATGACCTCCATGACTTGCAAACTCCACTGAACGAAAAAAAATCAACTACTCCCAGTTTCATCATAATTAAAAAAAGCATATCATGGTTAACATCTAACCAAGATGCCACACCATCGTTGCAAAAGGTCTTCAACTTCTTTCTGCTAGATGATGACGATGATGATGCATCATCATCATCATTTCTTGTAACACTCATTGTCCTGGCCCTTCCTAAATTTGCAAAAGGAAAGTAAAAACCACATAAGATACAAGAGTTGTAAATTGGGCACAAGCATGCACATACAAACAGATAATAGCCTTCTCGATGTATTGGACAATTTTTTTTCGAAAACTATATAAAATTTTGAGGTATGTAAAGGAGACTCCTTAAAGAGGGATGTCCTACAAGACAAAGGACTTACAAATTTAATTTTATGTAAGGGAAACACTAAGCTCAACTTCTAGCGTTATTTATGGGACAAACTAACTTTGCAAGATTGTGAAAGCAAAGTTCAAACCCGTTGCAATAAATGGGTTGTGTCATTTATAAATGGATTAGGATGTGAATGGATAACCAAATTAAGATATCAAACTCTTTATGAATGACGGTGTGTTGTGACAATGCAACAATTTTGGTTCTTAACAATTCAGTGCTTCGTGAAACTGGTGCACATTAGCGAGACTTCTGTAATCATGTCCTATAATGAATAGAAATTTATACAAGTTATCGTTCCCCATAGTTTTTGTTACACTTATTACAACACAACGATATCAAATATACTCCTTTTAATCAAATAAGTTTCTTTTTTAGATATTCAAAAGTAAATTTCACTTGGGCATTTACGGTTCATGTGCGTAAGCACAAACATGTTGAAAAGATATATAATCTCAACTGGATTGGAATTTGATAGAGACAAAGTCTGAAGAAAAATGACAAAACACATACCTGCAACTAAGTATTGCTAGAAGCGATTTTTCAACCACCGTTCTTCAATAAAGATTCTTGACCAATAATTAACTCTAAACAACTAATCTTAATAATTGCAATTCGTAATGGATAATTACTGAGGACCGACGTTCAAGCGTTTGACCGAGTTGAGCCAAATTCATGAACACAAAAATGGGGATAATTAAACAGTCTTCGGATATATCTTGCCCATTAATATATTGTATAAGCCCATTAGGCCATTACTAATATGAGTTCCTACAGAATTATAAACCCTGAGCAGCAGGCCGTCCCGTTAATTTTGAGTGTCTGTATGAAATACAAAAAATGGGCCCTTAAATATAATTTTTTAATATCTAAGAAAAATCTGTAAATACTTTAATAAGTCGATAAATAAGAATTGGATTAGAGAAAACAGATGTAACTGCATTTATGACTTGCTGACCAAAAGAAATAGAAATTAAGTTTTTTTTGAGACTTGGATTTAAAAAAAAAATAAAAGGAAAGAAAAAACAAAGAAAAAAAATTAATGGACTCATAATTAAGTTTAATGGGAATTATGTTAAAGTGAACAAAAAAGGACATGGTGGTTAATGGGATTAACCAAGTGGTAGAAGTGAAACTTATTAGCAAAAAAATAAAACATATCGTGGACGCAGATAGATTCAATCATTGGTCTACTAGTTATTAAAAAGTAAATGGCATGCGTCCTAGCCAGTTGATCTAGCATAGATTTCTAAAATTTGTTGCATAAATTGATATATATTAATGTAAATACTACATAATTTCAGTAAAACTTGGGCCTATTTTTTGGGGCCCCTGTGTGGTTGCACGCTTTGCAACCCCTCAGGGTCAGCAGAGCAATCAATCGTGAAACTTTTTACGGACCCTGAGCAGGCTCTTTGTTGAAGAATCGTTGTTGATAATCGATTAAAAATCCATACCCTTTAGCAATTTTAATTAACATATATGTTTGGGCTTCGATCTCTTCAATTATTCGTCATCGTCAAATCCCAACTCTTTTGTAGTTTACCTGCATACGAGTTGTTTTTTCATTATATGTTTGTATTTTGCATGCATACCAAGTGTACTATGAAACGCCTAAATAAAACTCATTTTTTATACTTGCCATGGTAATTATTTTTTCGTTTTGTTTACGTTTGGATAACTATTTTTTTAAGGTGACAATAATAATATGTGTACACATTTAACAAGTTAAATGTGTACAAAAAAAGATATTTGTCTAAATATGAACAATTTTTTTTTACAAATTTCTTAAGATTTTTTTTATAATTTCTTAAATTTCATACATTTATTTCGAAACTTTTTTTTTTATAATATTTTAAGAGTGTTTCACAGATTTTGTATGACAAATTAATATTTTTTTATAACATTTTAAAATATTTTCGTTAAATACTATTTTAAAACATTGTATTAAAAAAATTAAAAGTTTTTAAACTTCTAATTAAAAAGTATTAAAAAGTTGGAATAATTTTAAAACGTTTACATTAAATAGATTTTTTTTATATTTGCGAAGTAATATTTATTTTTATTTTTTTAAAAGACCCTCCATACTTATTGTTACATATTTAATTTATTTAATTTTATTGTTAGATATTATTTACTTTAAAAATATTGTATATGCTTAAAAACAAAAGAAAAAAAATTATAAGAGGCTATATAAAATATTTCACAAAACAAAAACATATTTTTTAATTAAAAGGTAAAGTTTAAAATTGATAAGTATTTAATTAATATTTACGAAATTATGGATATTTTAAAAATAACGTTTGAAAAAAAAAATAATACAAACAAATATGAAAAATAAAATCGCTATTAAAAGTGGGGAAAATGACTTATCAGAGTAATTAACTTTTTGTTTTCTTCACATTTAGACAATTTTTTTTGTACACATTTAACCATTTAACTTGTTGATTTGTTCACATATTGTTATTGTTACATGCTATAGCCGGTGACAATGGCAATATGTGAACATATATAACAAGTTAAATGGTCAAAGGTATAGAAAAATAAAGAAGTTACCTAAATGTGAACAAATCGATAAAGATGATTACCCCGATAAGTCATTTTCCCTTTTATAAAAGCACGATTTTCTTACAACAATATGGTTTTTGATTAATAAAACTTAGTTATCAACGTACAACGAATGAGAAGACAAACAAGCAACAAGTTGTGCCGCTAAGTCTTTTTGTATGGTAAAGTCAATTCTCTTGAAGAATACATCCATAGATCTAGGGATATAACATTGTTATGCATGATTCGTTGTACTCTGTTATAAAGCTCCACCTCATCCGGTGCAAAGAAACTAAACGTATCAAATGCAAATGGTATGAACACATGTTGATTTTTCATGCACGATTTTTCATGTTTGGTGACCTTGCATGTAGTATCGTTTAATGCAGTCTGTCTCGCCATGAAACCCCCGACCCTCAAGCCCACTGGAGGGGATACCCCTGTAAGACTAAAAAACAATTCTAAATATTATGGTGGGTGTTAGCTCTTAAAATAACCTTTGTTTTTATCCATTTTCACTCTTATGAGATGCCATGAGTGTTTGGTATAACCTTGATGCTGGAAGATTGAGCTGAATACGTTGTTTTTTTTCGTTGGATATGTACAGACTATATATAGCCTTTGTTTTTCTGAATATGAATGGAGTGTGCAGCTTTTGAGTCTAAATTACTTCCATGTCTCTATATATTCTTTCTGCATACATATATACTTGTGAATGTGTGTTATTTGAGAGATAACTTGAGGGCATGTTTTCCAGCATTTGGTATCAGGTTGAAGAGGGTTGGTTTGAGAGTCAAATTTTAGAGGGAGGAGCCTTTGGTTGCAGGGCAACGAGAGCAGCAGAAGCAACAGTTCGGCAACAGAAAGAAGGTTTGACCGGCAACAATCAAAATAAAGAAGAAAGAAGAAAGAAAGAAAGAAGAAAGAAGAAAGAGAGAAAGAGAGAAAGAAGAAAAAAGAGAAAAAGAAGAAAGAAAGAAGAAAGAATGAAAGCAAGTAGCAAGCCCGATCACGTTTGGTGATCAGAAGAAAGAAGCAGCATATTTTTTTTTGTATGAACGATAGCAAACAACAAGCAAGAAAGTTGCATAGTCTATAGCAAGTAACAGGCAAGATAATCATAGCAAGTAGAAAGTTTCAGGTTTGGAGCAAGTAGCAAACAAGAAACAAAATGCAAGAACCAAGAGGAATGAGACAGCAAGAAGTCTAAGCAAGGTCAAGAGCATCAAGATTAAAGGGGTGATTGTTGGGTATAATCTTGATGCTGGAAGATTGAGCTGACCAAAGTCAAGAATGGGTATGGGTTAATATTTAGTATTTATTTGATTTAATTAGTTTTTTGGATAAAGGGTGACCTGGTAATTGGAAGTGTATGTGCATGTGGGTGAACTTGCTCATCAAAGGAACCTATTCTTTAGGAATAGTTAGCTTAGTTTTAGGTTGGTTTTTGCTTATTTCCATTGGATATGTACAGGCTATATATCACCTTTGTTTTTCTGAATATGAATGGAGTGTGCAGCTTTTGAGTCCAAATTAATTCCATATCTCCATATTTTCTTTGTGCATACATATATATACCTGTGAGTGTGTGTTATTTGAGAGACGACTTGAGGGCCTGTTTTCCAACAATGAGATGGTTTTGCATTAGGTTACACATGGCAGCCATGAAACCATAGCCAATAATGATGCTATAATGAGTACTTACACTGTATATTTGTATATTTGAACTTGTTCTTGAATCAACTGTAATTAAATTAATAGAATATTCCATGTTGATAGATAATACTAGGTTACATCATGAAGGATGGAACAAACTAGAACTCCAACATGAAATCATATAAGAATTTGAAAGTGGAGAGATAGAAATCGAGAACATTTAATCTTTACCACGACTGTCTTGTCATGTGAAACGCTTTATAGAATATCCCCAGACTAAAATCAACTATCTTGATCAGAATTAAATATATGAGCACTATTATATACCTAATTACAAATCGAATTTAAATAGATTTGTAGAAAAAAAAATTGTTCAATATCTAGTTCCCAGCCTTTTTTCTTTAGACTACAATAGCGATTCATCACATAAAGGTTTTCACAAAAACTTACAAGCTCCGGAAATGATAAGTCTAGCTTCGGAAAATTATTGGTTTCAAGTAACATCCATTTGAGCTGTTGATTTGGATCCAGCCTGAGTTCACATACAGAAAAATGGTAGTGTAGGGTATATATCTTCCCCTTGAAAGCATGTAAATCAAAGATAGAGAAAGGTGGAGGAGTGTAGGCGACATGATTCCATCCTCGTTTACCAGGTATATAAAACAATATTTCTGGTTTACTCACTCTAGTATACAATACTTTTATATGTAAAACAACAAACACCCACCTAGACATTGAAGGCGAAAAGACAAGGATAGCCCTGATATTGACTTCAAGAGTACATGCATCTAAGGGGAAATCAGGGAAATGAAGTTGATGCCTTGTGATTGGATTCACAAGCCAGAAGTCACGGGTTTTCCTACTGAACAAGATCAGGTAACAACAAGTCAATCCAAAAGCTATAAATCCAAGATATACATTTGATTGTGCCTAGAAATATTAGGAAGGTCCAAGATGACCGAGGGTGGAAATTAGTGGTTCTTGAAGAGATGAATGCTCTTAACCAAAATGTTACTTGCCTACATGGAAGATAGAAGATCCCCCACATGGTAAAACTCTGTTTTTGTAACTGATGATGGTAGAGCTGATAGGTATAAGGTAAGAAGAGTAGCCGGTGTATGATTGATTAATACAAAACATTTGCCCTAATTACTTCCTAAGATTTTGTTTGTAGTTAGGAAATATAGCCAACTGATTTGGAAAATAGTCTAAATTATAGGTTTACATGTCCCTATACAATATTGATAAGGCAAGTGTAAAACATATACGAACAAATCAATTAGTGAACCGCCCTAAAAGATAAGAAAAATAAAATAAACTCCCATTTCAATGGTTGTTAGCAGCAAGTTACTATAGAATTATAGATCACAACAGCTTATTTTGCAGATTAAATCGCACCTTTACTAACTGTAAAGTGTAAAAAGCAGTGTTAATTAACCAAATTAAACTAACGGCAAAAACTCAAACCAGTTGGATTAGGTCAGTCGTAAGACCAAACTAAGGCAAACGAATCAGATTAGGGCGAAAACATCAAATTGGTAGGCTGAAATCTATTACAACTAAATCAGATTTTGCAATAGATTTTGTAGCACGGACATCACAGCAAATTAGGGTAAAAGGTTTTAACGAAGATAACTTAATTTTGGCTTTTTCAAAAAGCTAAAAGTTTGAAAAGTTGTTTGGCAATTATAAAAATCCTTTTACAATGACTTTTTGTCAAGAAGAAAAAGTTATGGTTTTAAAAGTCACAATTTGTGACTTTTGGTGACTTTTGGCTTTTTAGCCTTTATTCCTTCGAAAGCTAATTCAAACACATTTTAAAACCTACTTTTGAAAAAAGCTATAAGTCAAAAAGTCATTTTGTTGAAAAGGACTTTTTAAGCTAAAAAACAATCCCAAACACTCCCATAGAGAAGACAACTCCACATGAATAGAGGAACATTAAATATATACCTGCTAAAGACACGACGTTGAGCGTAGAATCGTAGGGGATGCCGATGAGTCCCGAGACAATTGTGTCTTGTGTGAATCGTGACTCGTGAGTACCTTTATCTTTGGTTAGGATAGGAATGACACTCAATTAAGGAAGAAGTCAACATTAAATCTCAAATTATTATTATTATTTTGAATAAATTATTAAAATCGTCTATGTGGTTTGGTAAAAATTACATTTTTGGTTCTTATTTTTTTATTTTATTTTTTGCACTCAGACCGTCCTTATGGTTTAATTTTGTTGTGTTTTTCATCCATTCTCAACATAACAAAACTTTATTCCCCTATGTATTTTTTTAGTTTTTTTATTATTTGTTTATTATTTATTAGTTAAAGAAAATCAATTACATGATTTATAGACATATAGGACCACTCTTACTCTCACTTGCAACACAACCACCACCCTCCACCAACAACTACCACCCACAGATTCCAACATTAACACCATTCATCTATTATGGCTCAACAACAAACAACATTATCGATTTCATCAGGTCACCCCCAAGATGAAATCCTAGAAATCAAACTAGAACATCGAAATCATAACCATACCAAGATCAAATTCCGAAACCAGAAAGCTAACCAAAGTCAAATCTTAAATCCCGAAATCAAAACCTGGCTGAAATGAAAACCAGATCTAGAAAATAAGCCCAAATCCTAAATCTCGATTTCATCTGAGTCTTTGCGACGATGGTGGTCTGGATTCCAGTGAAGGAGATATTGCGATTGAAGCTGATCAGAAGGTCATCGCTGCGTGAACCACCCGACGACGTGAAGCAGCTCCATCATTTTCAGATCCGTTTCTAGAGATGTCTTTTCCCCCATGGTTGGATTAATGATTTCCCTATCTTCTCCATTGTTCAAATTGTACTTTCTCCTGGTCCAATTTCCCACAACTTCGTTCATCGGATTTTCCCATCTTCTCTGTTCCACTGATTTTGATGGAGGATTTCGAGGACTCTAATTTCATCTTCTGGGAGCACAAATAAAAACTGACTGTCTCTGTGTTTGGTTGCACTAAAGGTTAGATTCGATTCTCTAAGACCCAAAGTAGAATGCATCTAATATATCATACCCAAAAGACTAAAACCCTAGAGCATTTAGCATAGAGAAGAGAGATCACTTAGAGAATTTGGATTCTCTAAGTATATGGAGAGTTAGGCAAGCAAATTCTTTCATTAAATAATCAGATTTAATCTAGATTCAAATCATTTTCTTATCTATTACCTGGAATGATTTCGAAGCCTCCTAGAAGCTGCAAAATGTCCACCCTCTTTAGGATTTCTTATGTGTAATGACAAAGCTTAAAAAATAAGTTTTACTATTGTGGATGCTATTATTTCAAGCTTTACTACTGTTATCATCATTACCTGACAGTTGGTCCGGAACAGTTATAGCCGTTACTAGTTCCGCAGGATCGAAAGAGTTCACTTTTGAGGGAATTCGGGATTTAATTCTAGGCGAAGACGTCAGACGAAGAAATTCCGGGGAATCAT